CATATAAAGTGAGGGGAACAATAATTTTAGAGACATGCCTGACTGCAGACTTATACAAAGCAATATGTCTCCTGATCGCCTGACTGCTAATTGTTGTTGGCGTGTACTGCAGAGTCAGAACTGACCCATGGCGGAACCTCCGGCAGGTTTTCAGAGGCAGTTAATCACACAGGAGGAGACTGCCCATCTTTCTCCCTTTGGGATTGTGGTGCAGCTTCTTGCCACGAGGCCATTAGAGCTCAGCAGCAAGTTTGAGGTCTGAGTTTGATGTGGGTCTGCATAAAAGGCATGGTGATCTACTCCTGTAAATACTACAGCCAACAAATTGCTCCAGGGCAAGTTCTGCTGTCACATGAGGTTGCTAGAACATCCAACAACAAAGTCTGAAAGACACCGCACAGGACTGGACCACGTGAATTTGGCTGTAAGAAAGCAGAGTCTGCCCTCAAACAATGACCCTTCAGGTCCTCACTCATCCTGACACCCAACATCTCTGCCACTTCAAGCCCAAAGATGCAGCCAGTCAGAGTTACCTTATCATCATCTCAGGGAACCGAGAACTGAAGGCAGGTGGAGACGGTACTTTCTTGGGTTTGGGAGTCAGGTCCATAAGGAGTTGTGCTGCAAAGCCAAAGGCCTCTCTGGAAGTTTGAATCCTCCAAGTTGCTCCCCAGGAGAAAGGCGGACAATCTCCTCGCATGCGAGCTACTGCTTCTGAAAACCCACCGGTGGCCCCGACCTGATGTTATTCATTTGCTGTTACATTTAATCATCAACAGCTCCTCCTCAGATCAACACCACGTGAGTCACAGAGCTGTGTTCCACCGGGGTTTCAGCAGGGATTTTCAAAAGCAGATTGCCCGCCCTTTCTTCCAAGGCACCTGGGGGTGAATCCGAACTTCCAACCTTAAGGCAAGTTCATCAAACATTCTTCCACCAGGCACTCACTCAAATGAAACATGAACCAGTTGCCGTGAAAATGATTCTTCTGACTCATAGAAACCCCACGTGTGTCACCAAATTGTGCTCCTTACAACAGTTCAATCGCCGAGTTTTTGAAAGTAAATCACCAAGTTTTTCTTCCAAGGCACCTTGTGTGAACTCAAACTTCCAAACTCTGGGTCAGTGGTCAAGCACCCACTAATACTTTGCAACACAAACCAAATTTCGCCAAGTGGAAATTTCCTCACAAGTTTCATTAAAAGATGTTCATTTTCACTGTTGCCCACAAGGTGGCAGAACCATCTCCTTTATAGAAATCTGAGCCGTTACACAAAGGATAGGAAAAAACCTCAAAAGAACTAGGGCATATTTTCAAAGATTAAGTTTTCTACATTTGGATTGTAACTGGCTCTTACTTTAATGGTAAATCCCTTTTATCAAGCATTTCACCAGACCCATACTGAGAGCTGTTGAGAAAGGAAAGCTTTACAAGGCTTAGCGTGGATTATTAATATTAAAGTAGGAAGAGAACAGGGAAAGCTGGAGAATAAGGATTTAGAAATGGCAACTAACTGACTTCCCAAATATGGCAAAGGGTACGCCTCTTGGAAAACCAGGCACAAGAGGCAATATCAGTGAGAGGAAGCTAGATTTGAATAAACAAGAATTTAAAAAAACTCTTTTCTCATTATTCAAAATAGCCAAAAGAAAACAGAGCAAAGTATTTAAGATTATGATAACGAGTCATGTTTTTAATTTAAAAATAGGCAGGGACTAAGAGCCACATAGTATCCCAGCCTGGACCTAATGAGAAAAACTGGTAAAAGCGGAATAAAGTGTATGACTTGTAAAGACCCCATGCTCAACAGACCTGAACTCGATCCTGTCCCGTGTGCCCTCATCATTTGTCACATATGTGAGCCCACTGCTGAGGTCCTGGTGCCCACCCATCTGGCTGAAGGAGTTACTGAACAACATCGTTAATACCACATGAGAGCAAAATGTTGCTGAAGATCATCCAGACTGGCTAGACCAGTCCACGGAAAGCTTAGCGAATAGTTAGTTCTGTAATGGTCTTTAGTTACTGTTGTTATTGAATACTATCGAGTCAGAACTGAACCACAGCTGACCCTCTACTGGGCTTTCAGAAGCACTAAATCCCACAGGAGGCGATGTCCTTGGTTATAAAGATGTCAGGGTTCAAGAAAAGCTGAGTGAAGGGGATATGAGAACTCTTATGATGAAGCTGGGCTTCCTTCTAAAAGGAACAGAGTAGATCCACAACAGGCCTTGGGCTAGAGACGAGAAGCAGAAAACTTTCAGCAAGCAATACAACATTGGACAAAAAAAGGAGAAAGCTGGGCCCAGATACAGCAGACCCCTGCCCAATCCTCGTACTGGTGGTGGGCTCAGAAGCTACCTCTACTCCACATCCTCGGCCTTTGCTGAGGGCCCTTTTCAAACACCTGGTATTACGGCAAATGACTCCCAGCCTGTCTTCCTGCACTGCTGTGTTCATCTCCTGCCATAAGCTTTCTCTCTAAAGGTCCAGCATGCTAATGGCAGACCAAGGACTTGTGCAGAATGCCCCAGAACCACTTGCTGCCCTCCTGCCGGGATGTGCTCAGACTTAAGCAAAATCTATTAGGGGAAGCAGAGGCCTTGCCGGCAGGTCTGCGATTCTCAAAGACAACTGGGCACCTGCAGGGGGAGGAGATGGTGCTGGAGCAGCCCAGGTCTGGGGCCTGCAGGGTGCTTCCCATTTAACTAAGGGAACTCACTGCCTTCAGGTCAGAACTACGTCACAGCTGACCCTCCTGCATGTTTTCCAAGGCTGTAAATCACACAGGAGGAGATGGCCCAGAGTCCCGTGGATTCAAACAGTGAATGAAGGCACCACCCACCTTTAGATGTGCGCTGCAACTCCCTATGGACTAACACCTCTAGAGCTCAACTACTGAGGGAAGCAATTTGTTCCTTGTAGAGAACACTTGCTTTGTTGCTGTTTCTACGTGCCATCGGGTGCAACTCACTGCGACTCTGTGAACAACAGATGTGAACCCTGACCTATCCTGTGTCATCCGCGTCATCTCTGACATGCCTGAGCCCAAGTGCTGCAGGCACTTGTCAACCCCAAAAGGTCTTCCTCTCTTTTGCTAATCCTCCAGCTCTCCAAGCATGACCTCCCTCTCCAACGAACAGCCTCTCCTAGCCGCATGCACGAGGCTTCGCCGTTCTTGCCTCCAAGTAGTACTCTGACTGTACTCTCTCAAAGACACTTTTCTTTGTTCTTCTGGCAGTCCACAGGATATTCAGTGCTCTTCAATACCACAACTCAAAGATTCTTCTCGAAGAGGATCTAGATGGCATTCTACCCTCTCTAGAAGACAGGGGCACAGAGTGGAATTTTCTGGTGGCCCTGGCACCACTTACATGATTCATGAGGATGGGGGTATGATGAACAACAACCAAAAAAGGGAACTTTGTTTCTCCTTTCTTCTGCGGGCTCCCTCTAAACTTGGGAGGGTGTTTTAAAATGCTATGTAACATTCTGGGATATCTGAATGGTGAGTATTGACCCAGTCCATGATTCGGTTGTTGTTGTTAGGTATCACTGAGTTAAGTACGACTCATAGTGACCCTATGAACAAGATTTGAACCCCATGCTATCCTGCGCCATCCTCACACTTCCTGACACACGAGAGCCCACTGCAGCAGTCACGGTGTCAATCCACTTGGTTGAGGGTCTACCCTCCTTTGCCAACCCTACCAGCATCATGTCCCTTTCCAAGAAATAGCCCCTCCTAACAACATGTCTGAAGTATGTGAGGCAAAGCCTTGTCACTCTTGCCTCCAAAGAGCACTCTGGCTGCACCTTCTCTTGAGTTGGTTCACCTGTGTAATCCATCACCTTCTGGGTTTCCTCTCCTGCCATCCTAGAATGGACGTAAATGCCCTGGTTGGATGTGGGGACATGGAGCTAGGAGTTCTCACTTCCCATAAGCCCACACATGGCGATAGGTGACTCCAGGGCACTGCAACCTCTACAGGGTGACACTAGGTACCCGGCTCTGGAACACACAAGGGGTTCGTCACCGCTCTGGTGCCTGGAGGACAACCCATGGGGCTGTTAGCCTGAAATGGGCCACGCCCATCTCCGAACGCCACGGAGCACATATGCCTGGCCAAATTCCTCTCCCCACCAGTCTCATGGCCCAGTTGTGGTAGAGGACAGCAGGAGGCAGACAGTGGGGACAGAGATGAGAAAGTTTAGCAGGGCCTAGGGCACCAGGGGGAAGTACCCAAGAGCTTGTCCTGAGGAATCAAAGCATGGGCAGCTGAGGAGGGACCAGGCTCTAAACCCCAGAGCTGACCTGCCGTCCCACTGGACATTACTTTATATAAGTACTTAATATATAAGAACATATATGCAAAGACAATACAAGAAAGAATTTCAAGACGATGACTGTAAATAGCACTAAGCCCGCACACAGGGCCCTTCTGAGCACATGGCCAGTGCTGCCCTGGCCACACAAGGCTGGGATGGCCCCACAGGAGGCCAGAAGCAATGAACAAGAGTTTCTTCTCATTCCCCATCATAAAGCACAAGCCTTCCTCCTGGACTTATGAATTCCAGTTCATCAAAAGCTCTACTTCCAGTGTGTATGACTGGACACGCACAGGACTGAAGCTACTCTGGAGGAAGGGGTTTGAGGGGGTCTTGTACCCACCTAGTCAATTACCCTTCTCATTGTTCTTAAAGACAGAACTTGGTTAATCTTCAAAGGCTTTGGAAGCCCACCCATGTTGCATCCCTTCCTTGTCCAGAAGTGAGATAGAGGAAGAGAAAGGCAGAGTTTTTTGGTTACAGAAAACCTGAAACTAACCCGACCTACAGGTTTTCTTAAGGTACGGAGGAGGTGAGAAATACAGAGGATTGAGGATAATTAACCCTAACATGGCTTTAGGCTGGAAGGTCTGTCACAATTAGGTCATGAACAAAGTCATCGCTGGGGTACAGGGACATTGTGGTCACGGGACGCACATGTCTTACCCACCTTGGATTCCGGATCGCTGTTGATACTACAAGAATCATCATCGTCAGCATGTGGGACATTTCTACAAAGGAAAACATGAAATTGGACTTAGCGTTGGGGTACAAATTCCAGCAGCACAAAGCTACACGTGCCAGCAGCCCATCCCCGGGTCCTACCTGAGTTTCAAAGATGCATAGCGTAGAGTTGCTCCTTCGAACTCTTTCAAACTGGGGTCGGGGTTAACGGTGGCTGCGTGCAAATCCTAGAGGAAAGGAGACGCCTATTAACGTGGACTGGAGAGGGATGCACCAAGCTCCCTCACATAGCAAAGGAGAGGCAGGTCCTCCGTGCTGACGGCACAGAGAGCACATGAGCTGAGGCACAAAGAAGCATGCAAACGCTGCTGGGTGCTGACTCCGTGCAAGCCTTGTTCTTACGATGGGGAACCGGGCAGCCAGTCAGAAGGCATTCACAAGGGGAGCCATCAGAAGATTACAGCATGTATGTGCACTGAGCAGCCCGAGTAAGAAGCCCCCTTGCACCAGCCCTGCAAGTGCATGGTATTCACAAAGAAAAATATGGACAGCCACAGTCATGCAAAAAAAAAAAAAAAAAAGGCAAACGAAGCAAAACCACCCAGTGTATTAAATGGTCTAAAATCTGACAGGATACTTGCCTTCCAAATGTCACTATTAATCTTTCCCCCATTCAGAACAGCAAAATCACTCCATGGCTGTTTCTAGACATGTAATTATTCACACGGGTAGAGGGGAGAGCACAGTGAATTAAAAAAATAACAAGAAGGAAAAAAAAAGGAAATAAAGAAAAAACACAAGACACTGTTGTTAGCATTGATATTCACAGGATGGGTTAGGAAACAAATTACTCTAAAAGTCATTTGTTAGCACATTTCAGGTCTATTTAGATTGTTATCTAAAAAAACAGACAGAGGGGAAGAAATGGTGCCAGAATTACTTACCAAAAGGAAAAAAAAAACCATACCAACAAAATCGACTAAACAAAGAAAAGCCTACAGATAGATATTAGAAAGTTATTTTCTAAATGTAATCTTAAAATGCTTCCTAGGATTGAATGCCTGTTGTTATTGTTATCTGCCGTCGAATCACCTGCAACTCATAGAGACCCTTTGTACGGCAGCTCTGAACCCTGTGCTGTCCTCATCCAGTCTTACTGATCCTGACACACCTACCCCTTTACCCTAGTTACTGTATCAATCCATCTCATCCAGGTCTTCCTCTCCTGTACCATCCCTCCACCCTTCTGATGTCCTTCTCCACTGACTGGTCCCTCTTGGTGACATGCCCAAAGTGTGTGAGATGGAGCTTGAAAATCCTTGCCTACAAGGAGAAACCTGGTTTCACCATCTCCAGGTCAGACCTATTTCTTTTCCTAGTGGTCCATGGTCTGTTCAAGACTCTTCTTCGGCACCACAACTCAAAGGCACTGATTCTTCTTCTGACATCCTTACTCACTGTCAAGATCTTTGATGCACAGTAAGTAATTGCAAAGACTATGGCCTGGATCAGGTGCACCTTAGTCTCTAGACTGACATTATTGCTCCTCAGCACTTGGGAGAGGTCAATGACAGTGGCCTAAGGTCCCCAATGCAATTAAGTCTTCTGATTTCCTGACTGCTGTTGCCAAGAGTGTTGACTGTGGGACTGAACAAAGCTGTAATTAACAACCTCAATCACTTCTCCATTCACCATGAATTTAATCATCCATCATGGCACACATCTAATTCCACACTAACTTTGTTTCCCCTCATTCTAATGAAATAATTGTTCTCTCCAGGTGGTGATAAAATGAGGGATGGGGAAAATCTACGATCAAGGACTACCTAAGAAAAATCGAGGTCTTTGAATTGTGGTGTTGGAGAAAAGTATAATAGGCAACAGCTCATTGTCTTCCAACAGAACAAGCTCTGTCTTAGAGGGCATGCAACCAAGGTAATAAAGTAAAAAAGGCATCATGTTGGGGAAAAGTGGAAGGTCAGAGGAAGAGAGGAAGACCCTCAACAAGACCCTGACACAGTGACTGTATCAACAGCTTTGGCACGGTGAGGACTGTCATGGTGGTGTAGAACAGGACAAGGTTCAGATCTGTTGTTCACAGGGTTGCTATGAGCTGTAGTTGACTTGATGGCACTCCAAAAACAACAGTGTGACTAAGGCCATAGAAAGCAGAAGTGCATTTACTTGCATGTAAAGGAAAATGAAGATGCAAGGGAAGTCACTGGGCCCAGAGAGACAGCCAGACTTTGCTGGGACTGAACCTAACAAAAACTAGCTCTAAACAGCCTCATATAAATGTCTCCACTTCGTAGAAAGCTCCTGCTTCCATGCCACACTTCTCTCTTTATAAAGTAATATTTGATCATGAAATGATTTTCCAAACCAATTAGAGTACCAAACATGAAACTAGGGCTCGTTGGGAGAACTCTAGAAACTTTTCTTTGAATTTAAACAACTCCTTCCATTCACCTCAGACAACAAGGAAACCTTTTTCTTTCGACTCTGCTGAGTGTCTATTCCTTATTTTACACCTCATACTGGAGGGAAATACCTGATGTGAATAAAACCCAGGGGGCCACCATTATGAATGTGTTCCACTGACATGTCACACAAATTGCTTGCTGCAGCGAATAAGTCAACAATGGAAACTTTTCAACTAATATGGTTTTAAATAAGAGGGAACTACTGACCAGTAACTTGTGCTTGTAATATTAACGTCATGTAAATCCCACTTAGAGCAAAGGTTCCATATGCTGAAAGGTGCATTAAACTCTTAAGAATACTATGAAGGTAGATAAAAACCAATCCCAAGCCCACCGACTCTTCAAGTCAGTTTAGATTCATGGCCAAACCCTTTATCAGGTTTCTGAGGCTGTAAATGCCTCATTTTCCCCCCACATAGCAGCTAATGTATTTGAACTGCAAACCTTTTGGTTGGCAGCCCAACATTTAGCTCATTAGGCCACTAGGGAGCCTTTGCCATTGCAAATTTAAATCCATTAGCACTACCACACGGTGTCATCATTACCTTCTGGGGGTTACACAGTTGAACTGTAAAAAAAGCACTCAGATCGCTGTTTTTATTTTTATAAATAACAGTTTTCTCTTATGAAAGCAAAAGGAGTGCTGCCCAGCCTCTTACTGCAATTCCTAACTCCAATTCCAACCCCAATCTCTTAGTGTAACACCAAAAGAAGGTTCAGTCTTCACTGACGAGAGAAGTCCAACACAGGGGTCTATGAACACCCTGAATGGGGTGGAATGGTTACAGTAGGAAAGTTTTCCAGGAGAGTAGACCTGCAAATGTCCTCATATTCTCTAATGGGTCAGTGGAACAAAAAAGGTATCTAAGTCCCAATGTGGGAAGATTAGTATGTGTGCACTTACTTAATATGTTGTTGTTTTTGGTTTTTTTTGTTGTTGTTGTTGTTATGTGCCGTCAAATCACCTGCAACTCACAGCAACCCTATGTACAACAGCCCTAAACCCTGCTCTATCCTGTGCCAATCTCACTGTCTCTGACACTCCCATCCCAATTACCCCAGTCACTGAATCAATCCACTTCACAGAGGGTCTTACTCTCCTACTTAATATAGTAAGTCAAAATAAAACCAAAAGGAAGAATTCCATTAAAAAAAATGAAAACAGTAACATCTGACAATATTTGATCTACTGAGTTTGAACTGGGAGAAGGACGTGTTGCTGTCTGGTGCCCTCAAGTTGAATGCGACTCACTGTGACCCTATGAACAGTGGATCTGAACCCTGCACTATCCTGTGCCGTCCTCATCATCTCTGGTACACTTAAGCCTATTTCTGACGTTACCACGTTAATCCATCTCATTGGGGGTCTTACTCTCCTTCGATGACCCTCCATCTTTCTAAGCACGACGTCCCCTTCCGAGGCATAGCTTCGCCTGGCTCCATGCCCAAAGTATGAAAGATGATGATCTGCCATACTTGCGTCCGAAGAGCACACTGGCTATATTTTTCTGACATATGTTTGTTCTTTTGGCAGTCCAAGGGCTATTCAGTACTCTTCTCCAACATTGGAACACAAAGGCATCAATTCTTCATCTGTCACCCTTTGGGGACTGTCACTGTCCAGCCCTCTGATGAGGTGATTAAGAAGACCATGGTGTGAAGGAGGCGCACCTTAGTCTTCAAACTGACATCATTGCTCTTCAGCATTATGGATAAGTTCCTGACCACAGACTTTCCCAATCGGTATGGACTACATCTCCACATCAAGAAAATAAAGATCCTTACCACAGGACCAACAGTGAAGATGGTGATAGATGGAGAAAGGATTGAATTGACAAAGGATAGGAAATGATCAATTAGGAAGTTTGTCACTTGCCAGTTGGCTGTACTGTGATACTGGAAGCTATGCTGCCAGTATTTCAAATATCAGCAGGGGCACCCACGGTGGGCAGGTGTAAGCTGAGCTTTCACACTTACACAGGAGTAAGTAGGCAATCCACCTCTGAAATAATGGGCCCTTGAACATGTGTTAACAGGATTAACAATGTCTGCTCCAGAGTCTAAAAGAATTGTGCCCTTTTCATCTGCTCACCCATTCCCATTCACAGCAGTCCTCCACTGGGTTTCTGAAGCTGTCAATCAAGAGGGGAGGAGACTGCCTGTCTTTCTCCATGCAGCTGCTGGTGAACTTGAACTGCCAGAGATGTGCAGACTTTGAGTTAGAGGCACAGCTTACTACTATGCCACTAGAGCTCTCTAATATTAAAATTTTAGAAAGGAAAGTCGTATTTGACAAAAACAATTCCAAATCAGGTATTATCCTGAAGAAAAGCACATGCGCCAGAGCTGGAGAAAGAGTAGTCTGTTTAAATTTCAGAAAAAAACCCTTTAGTACTTAACTATACAGGAACGTAAAGGTTGAAAACTTCTCATGTAAAGGTGGGTTGCGGTTGACGGCATCTTTGAGTTACAATGAACTTCACTAATGACAAGCTGTGCCCTGTACAAAAGCTGGTTATGGAGGTTGTTGAGGTTGTTTGGTGCCGAGTAGTGGACTCTTAACTCCCAGCGACCCTGTGTGTGACAGAAACCACGCCCGATGCTACACCACCTTGTTCTACAAGGCAGTGCGTCATTTAGTGAGTGTTCATTCTCAGACGTTCACTCACAGAGACCTAAGATCAGATTTATAGAGCTATTTCTAGGAAAAGGTGGTAGTAATGGAAAAATAGAACTAACAGGTAACCCAAGATATGTCTTACATCAGAACTGGTTTGCTATGGAGTGACTAGAATGGACTCTTGTACATTGGAGATGACATGTATTTACTTTCTGACTTAAGGGTCTAAGTAAAGTGAAAACTGATTATAGAGCTGAGACTGTGTGAAATGAGCTCTCACGCTAAGGAACATGAGTGAGTTCGCTGGCTAAAGTCCAACAATCACCTTTTATAGATTTAAATAAACAAAGATCCTGTAGAGTTTTAAAAACTTAAAATAATGGTGGTGGTGGTGATGTTATATGCTGTTGAGTCTCTCGTGACTCATAGACTTTAAATAGTGTTGTTATA